TATCCTTTTTTTTACCTGTTTTGTATGAGATTCTGTTCTTGTTGCTATAGGTACAGCAGTGAATAAAAGAGACAAAGATCTCTCACCTTATGAAACTTACACTCTTATATGTATGTATATTTAAAAATAGTGGTGATAATGCCCCTTATTCCATTCCCCTCTTTTTCTCCCCAAAAGCGTGGAAAGGGAAAGGGGATGGTATTGAGGAGAGAGGAAAACTTCACTGAGAGGGTGCCATTTGTGTAAAGATCTAAAAAGAGGTGAGGGAGCAAGCACTGTTGCTGTCTGTGGAAATATTTATCAGGCAGAGGGAATGGGAGGTGCAAAGGCTCTGAAGCAGGAGCCGGCCCAGTTTGTTCACAAAATACTGAGGATGCGGTGAGGCTGCAATAATGAGCAGAGGCAGGAGTAGAAAGATAGGATCAGAGAGAAGAACTGGGCTTGAGATGAGTATGATACAAATTGTGTAGGCCTTGTAACCATAGTAATTTTTTTTTTTTTTACTTTTACTGTGACATGGAGAGTAACTGATGAGTTCTGAACAGTGAAATGACCTAATCGGACATACATTTTAACAGCAGTACTGGCTGCTGAGTTGAGAATTACAATAGATGGCAAAGGCAGGGAGACCAGTTGGGAGGCTGTTTTGGTAACCTAAGCAAGAAATGGCATGGACCAAGATGAAAACAGTGAAGGTAATAAGAAGAATCAGATTCTAGACATATTTTGAAGGTGGAACCGTCAAGATTTGAGGACTGATTGGCCATGTGGTATGAAAAGAGTCAAGGTTAACCACAAGATTTTTGGCCTGAGCAATTGATTCTAGAAGGTTACGGTAGGCATTTACTAAGATGAGGATACCTGCAGGAGGACCAGGTTTTGGGGGGAAGATGAGGAGCTCAGTTTTGGTTGTTGTAAGTTTTGAGATTCCTATCAGACATTCAAGTGGAGATGTCAAGTAGACAATTAGATATAGAAGCCTGGAATTCAAGGACAAGGTTCAGGCTGGAGATAGAAATTTGATAGTTGTCAGCACATTTGTTGTTAGGGGCCATCAAGTCGGTTCTGACCCATAGCAACCATATGTACAACAGAATGAAACACCACCTAGTCCTGTGCCATCCTCACAATCGTTGCTACGTTTGAGCCCATTGTAGCTATCTAATATTTAAAGCTATGAGATTGGATGACATCACCAAGGGAATGAGTGTATATAGAGGAGAGAAGAGATCCAAGGACAGAGCCCTGGGACCCTCCAGTATTAAGAGGTCTGAGAAGAAGAGTAGGAGGAACCAGCAGAGGAGACTTGAAGAAGGAGTGCCAGTGAGCGGGGTGGGGGTGGGGGGGAAACCAGGTAAGTGGGAACCAGAGGAAAAAAGTGTTCCAAGGAGAAGGGAGTGATCAACTGTGGCAAACGCAGCTGACAGATTAAGATGATAATGGAGGAGTGTCAGCTGGATTTGGCAACATGGAGATCTTTTGTATATTAATCCTCTCAAGAACCCTATACTCCTATTTTACAAAATTAAAAAAAAAAAAGTTTTAGAGAACTTGTTAAAGGTAAAACACTAGTAAGTGACAGATCTAGGAATTGAACCCATATCTATCTGTCTTTTTAACTGCTATACTATATACTTCCTTTTTACATCATCTTGATTTTGTTTTTTGAAAAATATTTTAAAGTATGGGGAAAACTACAGATTAATATAGCGAAAATACAGTATCCTCTGCTCAGGACTAATTTTAATGTTTTCTAATATTTAATTCAGATGTTCATTTTTAAATAAGAGAAACAAAGTATTACAGATTTATTCATTCACACAAATATGAGTTGAATGCCTGCTGACTACCAGACACTTGTTCTGGGCACTTGGTAGATAATAGTGAAGAACACAATGATTCCTGCCCTCAGGTAGGGGAAAACAGGTAATGAACAATAATTGCATGTTAATAAAATGCTAAGTGCTATGAAAAAAGAAAAATATATAGCAGGGTAAGAAAATCAGGAGTATCTGGCTGGGAAATGGGGGGTAGGATGTACTTTTTAATAGGATGGTCTGATAGGCTGTATTGAGAAGGTGACCTTTGAGCAAAGACTTGAAGCAAGTAAGGAAGTTAGCCTTTCTGATATCTGGGGGAAGATTGTTTTGGGTAGCAGGAATAGCCAATGCAAAGTCCCTAAGATGTGAAGTTCCCATTGTTCCTTTTCCCAATCCATTCTTCTCCTTCCCTCCCCAGAGCAACTGATAACCGTGAATTTAATGTGTATCCTTGCAATATGTTTGTATACTTTTACTACATACATATGTATCCATAAACAATATTTAGTATTATCTGTTCTTAATTTGAAGGAGCCCTGGTGGTGCAATGGTTAAGCACTCAGCTGCTAACCAAAAGGTCAGCAGTTTGAACCCAGCAGCTGCTCCAGGGGAGAAAGATGTGGCAGTCTGCTTCTGTAAAGATTATAGCCTTGAAAGCCCTATATAGGGTCTTTATGAGTTGAAATTGACTCAATGGCAATGGGTTTTGGTTCTTAATTTATATAAATAATGTCATACCATACTTGTTTCTTTCATTCAAAATTATGAGTGAAATATATAAATCTAGTTCATTCATTTTTAACAGCTATTTAGTATTTTCTTATGAATATGTCACAATTTATTATTATTTTTTTTGCTATTACAAGTAGTGTTGCATTAACTATCCTCACACAGATCTTGTTTTGCATAAGTGAGAGGAGTTTTTTATGCTTTATACCTAGAAGTGGAATAGTTGAACTATTCAGGTGTATTTTTGACTTTATTAGATATTGCCAAATTATTGTTCAATTGCTTATATTAACAGCATGTGAAAAGTACTGTTTCTTCATGTCCTCATCAATCCTTGGTATTGTCTTTCGTTTTTGTCAGTCTAATAGAGTGAAAATCTTGTTTTTGTATTAATTTCCCAGATTACTAGTGAAATTGTGCACCACCAGGGCTCCAAGTAAAATTGAGCTCCTTTTCAAATGTTTATTGGCCATTCATCTTTGCTCCTCTATAAATTGCCTGCCCATATCCTTTGTGCATTTATCTGTTTGGTTGTTTTTTTCTTATTGATTTATATCATTTTGTTTGGAGTGATCTTTCTAAATGCTTTCTGAGAAATTAAAAGTGACTACAAAGTATTTTGTTACCAAGAAAAAAAAAAACACCAAACCTGTTGCCATCGAGTCGATTCTGACTCATAGCGACCCTATAGGACAGAGTAGAACTGCCGCATAGGGTTTCTTAGGAGCAGCTGGTGGATTTGAACTGCCGACCTTTTGGTTAGCAGCTGAACTCTTAACCATTACGCCACCAGGGACCCTTTTGTTACCATCCCCTGCTAAATAATAGAATTTACTTCCAATTTTTTTTAAAACTAAGTTGTATCGAATAAAGATCTTTTCTTACAGTTTTGTGAGTCAGTTCTTATTCTGTTAAGTTGTGGATTATGACATCCCTAATTTTTATTGTTAGTTGCCCTCGAGTCACCTCCAATTCATGGCGACCTTATGTATAACAGAATGAAATATCGCCCAGTCCTGTACCATCTTCATAATCATTAGTATATTTGAGTCCATTGTTGTGGCTGTTGTGTCAGTACACCTCACTGAGGGTTTCCCTCATTTTTGCTGATCTCTACCTTACCAAACATGGGGTCCTTCTCTAGCGATTGGTCTTTCCTGATGACGTGTCTAAGTTGAGCGAGCCGAAGTTTTGCCATCTGTACTTCTAAGGAGCATTGTGGTTGTATTTCTTCAAAGACTGATTTGCTCATTTTTCTGTCATTCTGTGTATATTCCTGGGTGATAAAAGCGGTTAACTTGCTTGGCTGCTAACTGAAAGGTTAGAGGTTTGAAGCCATCCAGAGTCACCTTGGAAGAAAGGCGTGACAATCTGCTTTGGAAAAATCAGCCATTGAAAACCCTATGGAACACAGTTGTACTCTGATACATATGGTGTCGCCATGAGTCAGAATCGACTCAGCAGTGGCTGGTTAACTGGTTTATTCCTTAGTTACCTGCTGCCGATCTGGCCCAAGGTAGAAAGGTACAAAAGATGAAGTAAAATCAAAATCAGAAATTGCTTGCCTGGTTAGCTTTAATAAAAAAATTTTTTTGGAAAAGTAGAAAATATGGTTACAAGAATATATATGTATATATACCTTTTTTGGATGACTCAGGTGTGCCTGCCCAAAGCCATGATCTTTTCCGTAGCCTCATATGCATGCAAAAGCTGGATAATGTAAAAGAAGGACAGAAGAAGAATTGATGTGTCTGAATTGTGGTGTTGGCAAAAAATATTGAATATGCCGTGGACTGCCAGAAGAACAAATAAATCAGTCTTAGAAGAAGTACAACCAGAATGCTCCTTAGAAATGATGGCAAGACTTTGACTCACTTACTTTGGAAGCCTCATCAGGAAAGACCAATCACGAGAAAACGGCCTCATATTTGGTAAAGTAGAGGGTCGGTGAAAATGAGGAAAACCCTCAATGAGGTGGATTGACATGATAGCCACAACAGTGGACTCAAACATGTCTACGATCATATTGGTGGCTCAGGCCTGGGCAATGTTTCATTCTGTTATATGTAAGATTACCATGAGTCACAGCCAACTCAACGGCAACTAACAACTACATATATACATTTATTTTTATATTTATTATAGATTTTTGATAAACCATCCATTCTAAGTTCCCACATTGTTCTTGTATTCTCATCTTGTCTAATAATAGTATAGTTGTAAACATTAAAAAGTGGGGCTGGAACACTTCCTTTTGAGATGGTCATTGTCAGATACTAAATATCGAGCCATATTATTATACTAGTGACTATTTCCTGTCATAAATAACAAGTATAAAAAAAAGTACTTCTTTGATACATGATGTCATAAATCTGATTTTATCTAGAAATAGAAGATTTACTTATTTAAGTATTAGAATCCTTTAGTAAATTTGGTCTTCCTGTCTTTCAGATTAACAAATAGAAATATTATACACAAATCTGCTGAGTGGACCTTAATTGCTATGGTGTTGCTATCGTTGTAAGTACTCTTTCAGATTTTAACTCTAAATACTAAACATGAAGAATTTTGACTAGGAAACTGACTGATTTTTAAAGCTATCTTGGAAAATTTTGTACCTCTGTCTTCTGCCTCACTTTCCTACATGATGAGAATAAATTTCATGTCAAATGATATAGCATATTTTGGTAAGCTGTAATCATTATCTTTATAATTTTTCCATTTTTCCTTCTGAGGGCCTGTTCTTTGCAATTACTGTTTGTTATCTTTTGAATGAAAAGAGTAACCTCATGTGGGAGATCATGTTTGGAATAGTCCTTCAATTTTATTTTTAAAAGAGCATTTTGTTAACCTCAGACAGGCCTCATTATTCTATGTCTGTATTTTTACCAACATGTTTAATGCTATTTCATTTTTCAACATATTTTATCATTAATAGCATCAGAAAAGTTCTATTTTCCAAATTAATGTACGTTTTTAAAATCAAACATTTAAAAAGAATGAAAGTGTATGCTTACTACACAACATATATAGAGCATTTAATACTCATTTACCTTTTAAAAAATCACTAGTGGTTTTTAAGTCTGCCCTGCAGTAATGCTAAACCATAATTGAAGCCCGTAGGACATTGAATACTTACCAGACACTCACAGGTCAAGAAGTGTTATGAGCCAACCTCATAACATCTCCATCCCCGCTTTCCCTTTCTTTGATATTACTTCAGTCTGACATGTTATTCTGCCTTTACTGTCCGAAGGAAGGCTGTGTTGGGAGGCATTAGAATAGGCTTCGGTGAGCCAGCATCTGTGTCACCCAACCAGATACAACTCACATGATTCATTAAATCAGAACACAGAAAATAACTTTACTTGAATGCCATGATACAAATTTTTTATCAACCATAAGAACAAATCTTTTGTCGTTTCTACTATTCAGTGTTCCAGTTGAATTGGTAATTTGTGAAACAGATCTTATTAATTTTTTAGAAAGTTCTTTTCAGGCTATGACATATCCAACAAGGTTCTGATCTCTAAAACTTATGGAAAACTTCAACACCTCAGCCACAAAAAGACAAACAGTCCAATTGAAAAATGGACAAAGGACATGACCAGACACTTCACCAAAGAAGACGTTCAGGCAGCTAACAAACACACAAAGAAATGCTCGTAGTCATTAGCCATTAGAGAGATGCAAATCAAAACTACAGTGAGATACCATCTCACCCCAGCGGTAATGACACTGATCAAAAAACAGAAAATAACAAATGTTAGTGAGGTTGTGGGGAGATTGGAGCTCTTATACTCTGCTGGTGAAAATGTAAAATGGTAGAACCACTATGGAAAATGGTATGGCGTTTCCTTAAAAAGCTAGAAATAGAAATACCATACAATCCAGCAATTCCACTCCTAGGTGTATATCCTACAGAAATAAGGGCTGTGATGTGAAGAGACATATGCATACCCATGTTCATGGCAGCATTATTCACAATAGCAAAAAGTTGGAAACAACGTAAGTGCCCATCAGTGCATGAATAGATAAACAAAGTGTGGTACATATGCACAATAGAATACTACGAAACGATAAGAATAGCGACAAATCCACGAAACGTCTCATGACATGGATGAATTTGGAGGAGATTATGCTGCATGAAATAAGTCAGTCACCAAAGGGCAAATATTGTATGAGACCACTATGATGAAAAAAAGGTTTACACACAGAAAAAAAAATTCTTTGATGGTTACTAGGGATGGGAGGGGGAGGGAGGGAAATTACTGGCTAGATAGAAGACACGTGTTAATATTGGTGACGGGAAAGGCAATACACAATATGGGAGACGTCAGTATAACATGACCAAGGCAAAGGAAGACACCAAGAGGAACACGAGAATAAAGGGCAACTGTGGTAATTACAGAAACCCTGGTGGCGTAGTAGTTAAGAGCTGTAGCTGCTAACCAAAAGGTCGGCAGTTCGAATCCACCAGGTGCTCCTTAGAAACCATATGGGGGCAGTTCTACTCTGTCCTGTAGGGTTGCTATGAGCTGGAATGACCTGACAGCAATGGGTTTGGTTTTTTGG